TGATACAATGAGCAATAAAAAATGCAAACACACAGACAATAAATATTGGAGCTGCATAAAAATGTAATCTAGGATCTTGTTTCATAAATAATAATCCAATACTACCAGTCGCAGCCATAACAAAACATTTACCAAGAAATAAAATGAAATCACCTACTCCATTAATTACTGCTATTTGTAAAGCATTATTAATAAGAGCTGTAAATGCCTAAAAATTTAAAAATATAATTTGTTATTTTTAATATCATTATTTTATAAATATATAATAGATAAAATAAAATTGAAATTATAACACACAATTCTAGCTGCATTACAAAAGTGTGTTCCTTCAATAGCAACAACAGTATATGCATTATGGTTCATATATCGAATAAATTTTTCTAAACAATAAAAACAACATATGCAACATTTTAAACCACATTGTGCACAAGGAGATGTCTCTTTATTTTTCTCAAATCTGTGAAATATTTATATTACAAATTATAATAGAAAAAATATAATTTTATAAATAATATATATTTATAATATTAAAATTAATTAAACATACTTAGCATGAAGATATGTCAAAATTAAACGAGGTAATTTAAAAAGTGTTATCAAAAATGAGCCACAAGCTACAGAACCTAAGTGATAACTAACTAAATTTCCCATAGCAGCACATACAGGAGATGCACTAGCATCTTTTCCTCTAAAATAATAAATATAATTCTAATAAAACTATATGTGTTACATAGATATGTATAAAATAATTATTCTTATAATATTACCTAAAATACCAATGAGCAACAGCTCCTGATATTACCATATCTTGACAAGAAATAATGAATTCAGATGTCCATATTAAACCTATGATATATACCCACCACATATATTTTATCCAAGTTGAATCCACATATTCCACAAGTGTAAAAGCTAAAACACTTCAAAGTAGTAACAAATACTAAATTAAAAAAAGAATGCATTATATATATTAATATAAACTTACTTTTAAATGAATCAAGGGAAAAATCAAGTTTTTTCTCTTCAATAAATGTATTTTTTTCTCCAATTAAACTCAAATTTAAAGGATCAAATATATGATTTTTATACATCTGTACAGATCTTGTACCAGGATAATCTACAATTTTTTAAATATTAATTTTTTTTCTGTAAATATTAATTCTAATTTGAAATTGCATAAAAAATTAGAACACTTACTAGCTGTTGCAAGACAAAGAACTACAGTTATCCAAAATGTAAAAAATAATATCAAAGCAACAAATGTTAATAAAGGTTGAAACAATAAACCTGGTAATTCTGCTAAACATTTAGCACTTTCTTTAAATAATGCTGTCATAAATTCAATACGTTTACGTATTATACTTAGAAGCAATAATAAAATAATCTGAAATATATAAAAAATTCTGAAACAAAATTTTTAATAATTCAAAAAATAAAAATAATGGTTAATCATAATAATTTACAGTTATTATTGTTGCAATAATAGAAAAAGCAAGAAATGCTCTTTCATTTCTAACAGATTCTTCTAAAAGTTGATTTGGATCAGTTTTATCTAAAGTTTTTTTAATTTCTATATATGTCCACCATAATAATATACTTCCACCTGTAAAATCATATATAAATTTTATTGAATTATGTTTTTACTATTTTATATTTTAATAATTTACCTATAGTTGTTACAGTGACAAGAATCATCACAATCCATGTTACAATATTTGCTAATAAATGAAATATAGCAATCATAAAAAGAGATAAAACTGAAATTAAGTATTTCATTTAAATGCTTAAATAAAATTAGTAAAATAAAATTAAAAAATATTAAACTAGCAATATGATAAATCATACCAAAAGCTAAAAAGGACAATGATAATATTTCTCTCCACGTTTTATATAAATCTCCTAAAATTTGTTCAATAATATCCCATGAATTGATAAATCCATATAAATTAGCAATTACAGTTTCTCCTACATCTTTAATAGCTTTAGGAATACAACGATTAAGAACTGGTATACTATTGTAAACTAATTCAGGGCAAGAACCTGTTACATTTTTTATATTTCCATTACAAGCACTTAAATTGCTCCCTGGCTTATCATGACAAAGTTGAGATCCTGTTTCCTTATAAAATTTGCATATATCATTCATTGTTGTCATAGTTCGATCTGGACATTTTTTGACACAAATTTTTAAAGATTGTGTGACATTATGTACATCCAGAAAAAATAAATATCTAAAATTATATTGATGAAAGTTTATAATATGTTTATAGAAATATATTATAAGAAATAATAATTTTAATGTTAATACTTACGGTTTATCACTAGTATCTTGTCCAGACAATTCCATACTACCAAATTTTGGATTATTTTTCATACCACAAGTATTTCCAAAGCTGTCATATCCATTTATGAGTCGTAAAGGATTACCATAAACAAGAGCAAAAGCTGCTATTAAGATCTATAAATAATATCTATATTAATGAAATTTATATTTTATTATATAATATACAATTTCTTAATAAATAACATTTAATATTATTTTTTATATTATATACATATAATTTTAAAATACTTTTTTTTTTAATAAGAAATTTAATTACCATAAGAAACCAAAATATAATAAAACAACAAAGCCAAAAAATATCTGTACATCCTCGTACATGTGTTGGATTATGTCGTTGTTCATCATCATCATCTCCTGAACAACAAGACATTTTTTAAAATTTTAAATATTACGAAATACTATGTTAAAAACACTTGAGTTAGATATAGTGTTTGGTTTCAGAACTACTCTCTTCATTGAATCACCTTGAAGTTATCTTCAATTATTAATACATTATACATAGTATAATAATTTCTTTTTAATAATATATTTTTTATATATTTTAATATTATTTACAACAATTTAAAGAAAATGAAAAATTATCAGATTAAATATTGATTAATATTGATTAATATTGTAAAAAAAGATAGATATAGAGAAAATAAAAGATACAGGAGATTAGTTTCGATATACGATCTTGCATTTTGCATAAAGTAAATCGTCTCCAAGGTAACAACAATATCTATTATTTTATCTAATACGTCATATGGATTACTATAATGAAAATTATAATAACTTAATTTCTTTATTTTAAATACGAAATGATTAGTTTAGTGTAAAACATTAAATCATTCAATAATAAAAAAGTTTAATATTTTAATTGTTGAATATGAGCACTTCATTTTCTAGCACGTTGTTTATTTTAACAAATAATATTTTGTTATAAATATGATTATTGATATTAAATTATATTATTTAGAAATATAACCTATATCATTAGATAAGTGCCAATCTCAATGTAAATATTGAAATATAAAAATTAAAATTTAAAACTAAAATAGTTTATTTGTTTAATTTATAAAATAATAAATAACTTTTGTTTAAGTATTACATGTATTTTAATTTTTCTTTTTTTTTTTATTTTATATTTTAATAGTATTTTTATTCTCAATTTAATGCAAATGAAAACTATTAAACTTTCATTTTACAGATAATAAAATATAATTTTAATGATGGAAGAAGATAGTGGTAAGAGAATGAGAGGTAGAACTCGTGGTAGAGCTCGTGGCAGAACACGAGGACGAACTAGAGGTAGATCTAAGAAACAAGTAAAGGTGAATTTAAATAATTTAAAAATTTTTAATTATTTATTATATAATTTATTTTCTTAATACTTATATTTGATTATAACTTATATATAACTTATATATTTAGGTCATTGAAAGTGATGAAGAAGATAATCCTCAACAAGTAGAAGAACCTCCTGTAGAAACAACTGGTACAGAATTAGAAGAACATGAAGCTCCATCAGTTCAACAGCTTCCTTTGGAACAACAGTTTGATTTGGAAGCTGATATATCACAATTAGAAGCTCCAACTTTTACAACCATTAATAGAGGTCCTCCAGAACCAATGTTACGTTTAAGATGGGATCATAGAGTAAATCTCATTGGAGAGAAAGTATTAAATCCCATGATACATTGTTGTGACAAGTGTTTAAAACCAATTCTTATTTATGGACGTATGGTAAGAATTTTTTTTGTGTATATTAAAAAAAATTATACCATAAATTATATATTTGTCATAAAATCCAATTTGGTAAATTTTTAATGCTTAAAATGTAAGTTATAAAAAATATGAGAGTTATAACATATAATCAATATATCTTTAAAATAAAATAAATTATTATAAAATAAATAAGATTTGTTGTTGTGCTTATTATTATTTCTTAGTTTAATATTTATAATAATATTTATAAATATCACATTTTTATATATTTTAGATACCTTGCAAACATGTCTTTTGTTTATCTTGTGCTAAAAGAGAAGATAAAGTTTGTCCTCGTTGTATGGAAAAAGTTTCTAGGGTAGAACAAACAGGTTTAGGTACTGTGTTTATGTGCACACATGGTGGAACAAGATATGGAAATGCAGGTTGTAGAAGAACATATCTTAGTCAAAGAGATTTGCAGGTAATTTCTTTTTATTTTTAAATATTTTGATTATTAAAAAATATTGAAATATATTGTTTGTAGGCTCACATAAATCATAGACATATATCAGCTCCACCACAAGTTCAAGGCATGCAAGTGGATCCTCCACAATATGTGCATTCTAAATCAGAAATAGAATCTCAATTAACAAAAGTTTCATCAGTTGCTATGCAAAATACTCGCATAAAATCAGTACAATCTCATATGGTTCAACCAATAATGGGAAATGATCCTAGAGTGAATTCAATGGTCAATCAAGCACCAGTGGAACATAGACAACAACATAGACCACAAGCATTACTATCAATGCAAAATTACAGTCAAAATTCTGCACCTCCACCGCCAAATAATGCTCCATTAAGAACGAATCTTATAACTGTGCCCATTCAAGATACAGCTATAACAACACATGATATACATACCCAACAAAGTCATCATTATTATCCTCCTCCACCTCCACAAGTTAATTATGGAGGATATAATGTACCACCTCCTGTTTCTCAAACACAACAATATTATCCACAACCTCAGCATCCTGCCCAAGTATCTTATGTGCCACCACCACCACCACAGCAACAGCAATATGTATCTTCAACACCAACTTCGATAAGGCCATCTCCAACAGGATATATACAGGACCCATCATATGGTCCTCCACCTCCACAACAACAAGCTCCACCACCACAAACTCAATGGTCACAGCATCAACAACAATTTTATAGGTAAAGAAAAAATGTATTGTGGAGAATTGTATAATATAAATTGTGATAAAATTATTATGGAAGCAATGATAATTAAATATGATTGTAAATATCAATTTTTTAAATGTAATGTATCATTAAGAAATATTCAAAATATTTTATACTTTTCAAAGATATATAATCGCAACATTCAATGGCGAAAATTATATAATCTTATAGAAATAAAATTATTTCAATCATGTGCATAAATTTATTTATTTCCCATTTTTTCACTTTACAATAAGCTAAAAAAAAAAGAAATAAAACTAATTTTAGATTTTAGGAGAATTTGTAACAAAGAATAAAACAATCTTATATAATATGAAAATGATATATACTTATTATTTATATACATATAACAAATTAATATAAATTAAATAATAGAATATTAAAATTTTAAATAAGTATTTCTATTACATATTGCATAATTCAATATTAATTTTTATAATAATTTTATCCTATATACGGAATAGGAAAATACGAAATATATATTTTTTTTAGTAAAATTTAATATTGTACAGACTATAACGATTTTAACATATGTACAAAACTGATTATATATAACATGTACATATATAATGTGTAATTAGTACATTATATTTTTATAATGTATTTAATGAAATTAACAAAGATTCATTTATTCATACACTCAATTCTGGCCTTTCGCTTCTTAAATCTAGTCATATTTGTAATAATAAATATTAATTGAGACAGACTAAAAATCGTATATTAAGAGTACTTAAAAATTTGTTATAAGTATATTTTTCAGTGGAAGGCCAAAATATGAATAACATACATTCTTAAAAGACAGTTTTGAATCATACATGAAAATAGTTTTTAATCTTAATCCATCACGCACATATTAATGTATTTATCTATGTATAATTACTGCATCATTATGGTGTCTTGTTCCCTTCACGTTTTACATCAATTCTTATATTTACAACCTATTATTATATCAAATATTATCCACATTGCTATATATATAAATGTATATTTATATATATATATATTTATACGAACTACTTTCCATTTACCTTTTCATGTATATATTTTTAAATAATTATGTTTAAATTATAATAATCAATATTTAACAATTGCTTAAAAATATTAAGAGATGACAAAAAAAATCGCAACATATGTTTGTGGCACAGCAGTTGATTTTTTTAATATAATATAAAAAAGAATACTATTTATGAACAAAATATAAATTAAACATATAATAAAATATACTTTAATTAAATGAATATCTGTACCTAAAATGCAACTGGAATATTAATTATTTTTTAATTATATTTGACAACATTAATAAAATAAATTAATATAATATGATGAAATAATATATTAAATGATATAAATTTATGTGTAAAAGTAATTATACATGTATGAATATTAAAAATTTTATAATTTAGATAATAGATCAAATCTTATTTATAAATTTATGTTATGTACTTAGGTACAGATATAAAAATATATCTTTTTTAAAATAATATGAAAAGAATATATTGAAATTATTTCGTATGAAATAATTATTCTAAAAATTATAGATATAATGCAATGGTACATATTTTTTTAAAAAGAAGTCTTTTTTGATACAAAAAGTAAAATATACTTCATATTAAGATTTATATTAAGATTTTGTTAAAATATGATTTTAAAATAAGCTGAAAATGTTTGTATTTCACAACTGTTATCTGATTTCAACATGTATGTGTATTATATATTAACATTTTACACTATACATAATGTTTAATTGTAATTCTTTGATTGTATAAAATATTTTTCAAACATGTTAATGAAGTAATAATTTTTTCCAAATTTAAATCTGTTTCTAATAAAATTATTTTACAATATTATACTGGAAGCCAGTCTACTTTTATTCATTGTTATTAATAATTTTTATTATTCAGTTATCGCTGAATATTAAAGACGGACAATGTTGCAGTTATACAATATTTCAGGACTTTTAACATGTTTGTTAAAAAAATTTAAATTAATTTCTTATCATTCACTGACATATTGAATTACATAAATAGAGTTTATAATTCTTAGTAACAAAGAACACGATTTTCTTGGAAAATATCATCACAAACTAGTAAAATCCTATATTTTTTTTGTTTAAGAATCTTTTAAAGATTACATGCACAATCGATAATATGGCATTATAATTAATATAGATAAATTAATTTATTATATTATATGCTAATTTAATAATACAAAAAAAGATTAATTTCATGTTTATAAATTTAAAAATATATTTGAAATTGAAAGTTAATTAAAAGCTACAAATGCCAAGGCACATTTTATATATTTATTTATTTTTTGAATTTATCAAAAACTATTAACAAATGAATTTTTTATGATTTGATAATAAAGTTTAGAAGTATTTTTTTATATTTTCTTTTCTATTAGACTTTAAAATAGTTTTATAATAATATTTGGCTTATTTGTTAAAAAAATTATTACTTTACTAAATATTGCCACATTATCAATATTGTTGCAAATTGTTAATATTTTTTTTAAAAGTTTTTTAATATATTTATACATAAATTTGAAATCAGTCTATCTGATGTGATCACGTATTAGTAGAAGCATGATTATGTATATTAACACTAACTTGAGGAATGAGAGGAGATGCAAGTGGTTTAGGTGTAGTGGTATCAGGAATTGGGATTGAAACTGCAGGAGGTACTGGAGAATGTTTTTTAGTTCTTTCTTGTTGCCATGGTTTTGCATGATCCTTACTCAATCTTTCACTTAAGGCTTTTAATGCTATTTGCCTGCAAATTATTATTAAATAATTAAAATTAAATTATTAATATTAATAATTAAAATTATTAAATAATTTAAAATATTATTATTTAAAAAGTAATCTTTAAATTGTAATTAAAATTTCTTTATTTTATATTGTATATTTTTTAAGTAAATAATTAAAAAAAAAATCAAACCTTCTTCTTTCGCTATCATGTGGATCAATACCAGGAAGATTTATAATGAGACCAGGTGGAGCATTGGACATATCAAATCTTCTAACCACTTTTCTACAAATTCCAACTCGTACAAAAAAACCATGTATTGTGTTACTTACAACTGCTATTGGTGGTTGTAAGACATTTGGAAAGAAACTATAATCAAATTCATAATCATATAATATTAACAATATTTTGTTTCAACACACACACATACACACACATAACAATAAAATATAATTTACCTTGCAAATGTAAAATTATCAGCCATATCACCACGTGTACCATTATTATGTTTTTGATAGAATCTAAGATAAGTCCATGATATTAATAAACCACTAAGAAACATAGTTGGATGAGTGCCTTCTAATAGTCCAAAAAGCCATAATATCACTCCCATAATCCAAACCATTAATGGTATATTTCTATTTGTAATTTTACCAATTGGTATTTTAACTAAAATATGATCTGGCATTATTTGTTTTACAGCTACTGTAACACCTATAATTTTTCTCTAATTAATTTATATATATTTTATAATTATATATTAATTATATATATATTATAATTAATGATATTATGATATTTTATTTTACTATATTTACAATGTAAAATATATAATAAAATACATTGTTATATGATATGCATATAATGATGATAAATAATTGATAATAAAAATTTATTTTATAAGAATGTACCTGCAATATATCCAGTTAATCCATGGATATGTATATCAAATAATAGATCTGGATCATTGGTGCACATATAAAGAAATAAATAAAATAAAGCTGACAGGACAGCGACGCCAAAATTAACGATAGCAAAAAAAGTCATCATTTCCATTGCACCCCATAAAGGTTCAATCAATTTACCACAAAGTCCTACTGTAACGATATCCACACATACTTCCCAAAAATGTATTTCAAGAAAACAAAAAGTAAATGCTGTCCAGATCCAAAAAACTGGAGGTAGTAGATAACCTGGTGTCACACTTAACAGACGTACCGTTTCCGTAGAAAAAGAAAGGCAATAAGAAAACAAAACTACTACGCATATAAATTTTACACTGGTACTGGTATTTCCCAAAAGGGCAGCAAATTGTTGTCTCAGATAGGGGATATTTCTACCCAGGCCCTTTATTGCTGCCATTTCTATTAAGCAGCTCTCTTAACCTCTTTGAATCAGAGAGCCACTTGTACTATGACTTGACGTTCGTTACATATAGATCAGCCACATTGACTTCTACTTTCATATATCTATCAATGTAAATAATATGAATTACAATTTCTCTATTTAGCAAACGTATTAATAAAAAGGTATATATTTTAAATATTATTAATAATAATAAATATAATAATAATTATAAATATATTTCTTTATTCTTATTACACAATAAATCAAATATTTTTAATATATATATGTACATATATTAATATTATATACATATATATAATAATATAATAAAAAAGATTATAATTCATTAATAATTATATATTATATATATTATATGTTTAAATGATTATGTTTTGTTTTTCATTGATTAGTCATTGATGTTCGACATTTTTAAACACTTTTTGGAGAATTTGTACAAATTGTTTTTATATTAAAAATTTATTATTACAAATTTCGGTTCTAAGTATGTGTGAAATATGTACTGTTTTACATGATTATTTTGCGAGCGTTCACAAATGTTAAAACATATCATACAGGTAACCAGAAAAATTTCGGTAAAAAAAAATATTAACTAATATATAAATTTTTAATTAATTCATATAAAAATTCTTATGATATATTATTTATTTATGTAACAAGAACAAATTTTCTTAATAAATGCCTGGAGTTTGTCCACGTTGTAATCGCGAGGTTTACTTCGCAGAGGAAAAATTAGCTCTTGGAAAAGTTTGGCATACGTTTTGTTTCTCTTGTCGTTAGTATCGTAAATTATTATTATAAGATTGATCCAAGATAATTATTTTTTTCCCTGTAATGTTTTTTTCATTATTTAATTATAAATGAAAGTTGTTTGAATTTATAATTTATAGGTAGCTGTAGAAAATTACTCAATAGCTGTAACGTCGTGACACATCTTAGTGAATTATTTTGCAAGAATTGTTATATTCGTCTGTTTTTATCCACTGCGAATCATGCAATTAAAGCAATACCAAACTCGTCTGCAACTTTAGCACTTTCCAAGGAATTATTAAATTGTTACTGTTGCGACGCAGAAAACTCAATCGGTAACGCGTCATTAAACAGAAATCAACATTATCAATCCGACAAGTATAGACTTCGTGGTGGAGGAAGTGAAGTTGAGGAAACAAATATTTGTCTTGACGAAGAAAAAAAACATTTCATAGAAAACGAGTGTGCAAATCTAGGTATTGTCAATTCGATGACAACAATTTGTGATCCGCCACCCAGTCCTACCGCAATAACTACGTGGTACAATCGACAACATTCTAGGTTTCGCAGGTTTAAATTTATTCTCGACATATATTTTCGTTTTTTTTTGGTTATACCGTCTAAATATAAATGCCAAAACATTAAAACATTCATTTTAAAACGTCTTGTTAATGATATCTTATTAAAATAGTACGTTGTCTCCGGAGTGGCAGAAGAATAACACTAACGCGAAAGATTGTCGATTTGAAGTGCAGAAACAAGATACAGATCAATTTGAGCCAAAGACTTCGTTTAGTAATAATGAAGTCAACATTACAGAGGCTCAGTTAAGGTATATAAAATTTTCTGAATTTTCTGTATCCCTATTCTTCCAGATTTTTGTAAACTATTTCTGAAGAAATGTTTAGCAGTAAGCGCAAAAATAATTGGATATATTAGACTAGCATTTACGTTGAATTCGTATTTACCACTTTTCATCGGAAACAGAATCCGTCGGTAAGATATCGGTAGTTTAAAATCTTTTTACCGTTATAGTTAATAGTTTAATTTTCATGTTGTGTGTCATTAATTTTAAACTTATATTTATTTCTATATATATTTTATATTTTTATTTTAAAACTCCAGTGCAATGGCAATTCGACAAAATAAGGCTTTCTAAGCGTAGATATTTCCAGCACAGATAAAACTCAAGTGACATCTATCAACTGGAATAATAAAATTAACAAATACGATCCCGTATACGAATTTAGTGCCAATAGCGTCACTATTCCGTCAAGACGAAAATTTGCGTATCCGCCGGTACCACCGCCTCGCAATCCGTTGCCTTCCCGACGACGAGTCTCATTCTACGACGTCGTCTTCGGGGATATGCGCGGAAACGACCAGAATTGTATCTCGAAAATGCAAGATGATCATCATAGGCCCTGTTGCAATAATGATAATAAAAAGGAATACAATAATTCTTTCGACATTTGGCAAGCGGACGAATCGGTTGGTAAAAACGACGGCGGATACGAAAATATTAATGTAAATTATACCAAAGATAGTGGCAGAATGCATTTTGAAAAAAGCGCGTCGGACTGTGGTGAAGAAGACACGTTAAGTAAATGCAATGACATCGAGAAGAGTCGTGGACAAGATCATTGCATCGAAGGTAATTCAGAATCGCGCGCGTACAGAATAATGAACGAGAAAGATGATGCATCGTCGAAAGAAGACGCTATGACGTACGGTCATCAAAGTGGCCCGAATTCATCGAACGAACTTGATGATAATGAACGAATGCGGGGAGGATGCGGTGGACCGTGCGGACCTCGTGTTAGACTTCCATGTGGAACAGTGAAAGTTGAAACTGCTTGTCTTTGTAAAAGTAAAAACTATATTTCTGGAAAATACCAGTTTAAAATTATTCGTGCATAAAGAAGAAATATTAGGTGGAATTTTAATTTTTATATTTCAGGAGAGCCAGAACCATGTCGCGTTGTGACATCTTGTGCGACTTGTGCTACAACACCATGTGCCGATAGACGTAGTTGTTGCTCATCGTCAAGTGATCGGCCAGTTTGCAAAAAATCAATTATTAAATGTCGTCCACCGTGCATCGGAGAATCTCCAACTTGTGGAGGAGGTGGATGTTGCGGAGGTGGATGTCGTGGTGGTTGTGGAAAACCTGGACAAACGTGTTTACCGAATCCATCAAGACTTTGCACGACACCTTGCCGACCGTGTTCACCTTGTTCCCCACCAAAGCCATGCGCTCCACAAATAATTTGCTATTGCGGTCAAAAATGTGGAAATTGTTGTGGAAGTGGGAATCGTGCATGTTGTTGTCGGTAAGAATTTTTAATATTGACTCTTTATATCGATACTTTAATTATTAATTTTTTTTCTATATATATATATTTCTATATATATATATATATATATATATTCTATATATATATTTCTATATATATATTTTCTATATATATATATATATATATATATATA